GTGGCCACCTGCATTTTCCAGCTCGACCTGGCCATCCGGCAAGATGCAAGCGAGTGAATACTCGGATGGCCAAGGTGGGGGCGGGACCAGCTCATAGTGGTCTCCGGCTTTCTTTCGAGCAGGCTTAGCTGCCTGCAGTTTCGGCCGCCACTCCTCCTTGATCTGTTCTTTTGATGACGGAGTGGTTCGGAGTGGCGGCGAAGGTGTGGGAGGCGGGTCCTGCAAAATAGGTAGCACAGAAGGATACACGACAGACTCGTGCACCTGGTGAGATACAGCATGCAGAGGTAACGAAGCAGGTATAGTGTTAGCAACTGAAAACGTTATTCGCTCCTCGCCATCCCTCAAAACTAAGGTCCCATCATGCACATCTATGAGAGCCTTGGCGGTGGCCAGGAAAGGCCTTCCCAGTATAAGAGGCACTTCTGTGTCCTCACTGATGTCCAGGATAACAAAATCCACAGGATATGTGAATTTGCCAACCTTGACCAGAAGGTCTTCCACTATACCCCTAGGACGCACTACAGATCTGTCAGCTAATTGGAGGGTCATCCTAGTAGCACGGGGTTCACCTAGGCCTAGTTTCATGAACAATTTATATGGAATAACATTGATACTAGCACCTAAATCCGCCAAGGACTTCTCTACATGCAATTTATCAATAGAGCACGGGATAGTGAAACTACCTGGGTCCATTTTCTTCCGCGGAAGCTTGTTCTGCAGAATAGCCGAGCACTCCTCGCTGAGCTCCACAGTGGCCAGCTCACTCAGCTTCTGCTTCTTTGAGAGAAGCTCTTTCAGAAACTTCGCATACTTTGGCATTTGCGATAGTGCCTCCAAGAAGGGCACTTGGACATTCAGCTTCTTAAGCATGGCCATGAAGTTTTCGAACTCTGTCTCCAGCCTGTCTTTGTGCAACCGAGTAGGGAAAGGGAGTTTAGGGACATACTCCTTCACTACTGGTTGCGGTTTAGGTGCAGGCACCTCAACCTCCTTCCCAACTTCTTGTTCAACCGCTGGAGATGCTGCAACAGGGCTTTCTCTCTCCGGTTCCCGAGCAGGGGGGTCAACAGTCAGCTTGCCACTCCTGGTCATGATGGCATTGCAGCGCTCATCCGGGGTCTGCGGATGAGGGATGGTCTGCGCTGGTAGAGTACCAGGCGCCCTTTGAGCCACTGCTTGGGCCACGCTCCCCAGCTGGGTCTGGATATCCTGCAAAACAGCCTGGGTGTTCCTCTGACCAGCTTCAAGAGCCAGGAGTTTACCCGAGGCCTTCTCCATGAACTGCTCAAAGGTGTTGAATTTCTGAGCACTAGCACTGGCGAGAGAACCCACCAAGTCCCGCAGTTCAGCCATCTGATCATTCTGCACTGGGGCAGCAGGAGCTGCACCTGGCTGCTGGAAAGGTCGCGGCTGTGATTGAGCAGCATGCCCCTGCATGGGCTGATAGAGAGACTGTTGTTGCTGCTGGAATTGCCCCTGTCTGGGCTGATATGGTGGCCGCTGGAAGCCTGGTCCCTGGGGAGCTGGTGGTCTAGGATTTGGCCCAGCCCAGGAGAAGTTAGGATGCTGGCGCCACCCCTCATTGTACGTGTTGCTGTAGGGGTCATTGCGCCTGACGTTATTAATGAAGTTCACCTGCTCCTGGGGTGTGGTAGATTCCTTCATCGCCTGGCAGTCTTCCACCGTGTGATGGGTGCTTTCGCACCACTGGCAGTGCATCGCCTGCGGCTGTCCTGTACCTGCAATCAAACCAGAACGATCGATAGCTGAAACCAGCTTCGATACCACCTGCACCAAATCAGATGACTGGGCGCCCACAGCATGCACACCCCGTCCAGGTGCTCGTCTCGATCTCCTAGCAGTGCCCCAGTCATAACCGTTCTCCGCCATCTCCTCAAAGAGTTGATTCAGCTGTGGCGGGGTTTTGGTCAGCATGTTCCCGCCACAAACCGAATCGATCAACTGCTTGTCCTCCGGGAAGAGAGCGTGATAGAAGGTGCCCACCTTGAATGCATCATTAAAACCATGATTGTGACACCTGAGAAAGAGACTGGTGTACCTCTCCCAAGCATCCATGATGGTCTCATCCTCATCCTGAGCAAAATGTGTAATTTGCTTCTGCAGGTCAGCTGTCTTGGATGGAGGATGGTAGCGGGTGAGGAACTTGTCCGCCAGGTTGGCGAACGTGGTGATGGAGCCCGGAGGTCGAGTGTCTAGCCACTCATTGGCCTGCCCCTCCAAAGTGAATGGGAAGTACCTCAGCTGGATGGCATCTGCTGGTACCCCATTGATCTTGATTCCATCGATGAGCTCGTGGAATCGCCTGAGATGTGATCGAGGGCACTCTCCCTCCTTACCACGGAACACCACTGAAACGCGCAGCATGGTGATCACGGAGGTGCTCACCTCAAAGTTGTTGGCTGGGACATGAGGGTGTTGAATGGGTGACCTCATGTCTGGAGCCCTAGCGGTCCAGTAGGATCCCATGGTCTGCTCATCTGGATTGATCACCTTGTGGTTCTGCGGATCACCCATCTCTCCTTCTTCTTCTTCTCCGATCTGTAGCTGTGAGAGCGCCTTCTCCGTAGCCAGTCGCGCCCTTAGAGCCGGCTTGGAGTTCCTGCAGGTTCGTTCAAGCTCCTGGTCTAATGGTAGTAGATCTCCCGACTGGCTACGGGTCATGCACTACCTGCACACAATCAGCAGAAGCAACCCGTGAAGGCACACAGGGGGAAGAGATAAAATGCAGTAAATAAAAAGCTAGAGTAACAAATTCTCACGTTTCCCCAATAATCTAGAGGGGTCCCCGGCAACGGCGCCAAAAACTTGACACGCCAAAACACAACACCAAACTGCGACCAAGTGTAATCGCAGTCCGGGAATGCAGTAACAGGCAAGTTTAATTATCAACCCGGGGTCTAGATCTACTGCTTACTCCGTGAGACTATATTATCTAGCAAACTAGTTCGAGTGATTGTTGTTTAAAAGCAAAAGCAGTAAGAAAGCAGTAAATTGTTCGGTTTTCAAAAGCAGGCAAGAGTCACTCGGGAATGAGTCCCCCTAGCCCCTTAGTTAGGTTCAATTGCAATTCCCTGGGTTGATTTACTGTTGATTAGACTGCGGAAGATCCGACAGTAGCTTGGAATCTCTTAAGCTGACCAAGCCCTCTCAGTCTAACTACCCGGCAGACGACTAGTCTTCACCGGGATAGAAAGCTGAGGCTGTGAACACAGAACTCCACTACCGGCGCCAAGAACACCAGTACAAAGCAGTAAACTGGCTAACTCTCGTATAGCCAATCTCCTACTATCGAATGAAGAGGCTCTAACAACCTAATCAGATTCTATCTATCTCAGGTTGCAGCAGAAATTGAGACAAGCTGATCAGACTCAAATCAATTCATTAAACATGCGTCATTCGATTAAAATCAAACAATAATATCATCCCAAGTCATTACAATCAAATCCCTAACACAAGGAACTAGGGTTCTTCATACCCAAGTGAGAGAAAGGTTCTACTCCATAGAGAGAGAAGGGAAAACAGAAATCAGAGTGGTCATACTCATAAAGATGAGGAAAATCTGCTCTGGGATGTCAATCTTCACTCCCAGGGATGCAATCTGGGCTTCAATGATGAGAAATCCACTCCAAAATAGCTCCTAGGGTTTGTTCTTCGCTCTTTCTCTCTCTAAAACTCTGTTTTTGCCCAGAAAATCGAATTCCCCTTCCTTGGCTCGAATCTGCCTCCAAAAACCCGACTCTGGGCGAATTACGGGCAGGATTACGGCCGTAATCACTTCCTGCCCGTAATTCACACCAAAACGCACGTTTCACTTAAGCTGCAGGAGGAGGAGATACGCCCGTAATTTCCCAATTACCGCCAGTAATTTGGGAATTACGGCCGTAATTCTTGGGGTCTTGCCCGTAATTTTATCACCGCGAGGGAATTCTGGGTAGAAGGCTCGGCCAATAAATTACGGGCATGCCCTGGCCAATTACGGCCGTAATTTGGCAGGGGCTGCCCGTAATTCTGTCTCCGCTCCTGTTCAAAGCTTCGTTTCTCCCTCGTCCGGACTCCAAATCAGTCGTCGTTTGAACCCAGACGCTCGTAGTCTCGTCCTCTTTCTTTTCATGAAAAGCTTGCATGATTCTTTGTCCATAAAGTGAGGTAGAAATCCATTCTTCTTCAGGTCATACCCGAGTTTCTTCTCCCGAATCGTCAATTGATCTCTGATTGACTTGAAACTTGCGCCTATGCTTCACTTTATGTGCTAGGACCTGAAATGTGACAAAGGAACACAACCTAGCGTAAAATAGGCCAAGGAACAATCAATTCGAGCCAAAATGGGCAGGAAACCAGAGTGAAAACACGTGCAAATACGATGCTATCACCACCCCTAAGTTTAGGTCACTCAAACCACAACATCGAGTTTGGTGCCGTCGATCCGGGTCAAAAGCAGCTCGAGGGATGGCAGATCGAACAACCCAGATCGAGTTTGGAGTACTCGATCTACGATAGAGCGTGTCTGACGTCATCGATCAGCGTCTAATGGATCGATTTCCAAAGACTCGATCCACCTTCATCGCGTTCTGCCCACTCGATCCACGTCACCACTGCTTCGCTGATATGGCCATCGAACGACCTAGATCGTTTCCCGGTAACTCGATCTAGGGTGGAGCGCTGCTTATGTCATCGATCCAGGTCTGTTAGTTCGAGCCTCCTGTGCTCGATCAACGTAAGTCGAGTTTAATAACCTCGATCCACGTCGTCCTGTGCCAGCCAATAGTGGACCTTTCGCTCGATGCACGTGGATCGATAACTTGGCAATCGATTCTGCACTAGCTCGAGTTTATTGAACTCGAACCGTGTCAAACTTTGGTAGTTTGGAAAAATTTTATAAAAATTATGTATTATTGGAATTACTTTTAATTATTACTGTATTTAGGGAATTAATCCGAACTAAACGAATGTCTCTCAATGTTGAGTCAGTGATGAATATGAAACTCATTTGCGTTGGATCTGAAAACGGCCCATATATGCAAAACTAAACATTAAGGATGAGAAAGAAGTAGCGCAACCGATAGATCATTTGTCTGCTTCTTGCTGAACAAAAAAAAGATCGATAACTATAACAAACAACAACACAGAACAGAAGAGGAGAAAGCAAATCAAAGAGGCGGAAAAACGAAAGTAGCAAAAAAGAGGCCGGCGGAAGCTCGCCAACTAGCCTGGCCTTATTACAGCTGGGAAACACGAAACAGAGGAGGGCGGCGACCGGCCGGGCAGGCAGGGAGCACCGTTCGTCATAACTAGCAATTCCTGGTGCAGAAGCAACGGCGGCGGAAACCCTGGCATTCGCCGCCGGAGAAATGTTCGAGTCTGCAGACCTGGGCACAGTTGTGGTTCCGGACGCAGGTCCCCTGGAAGCCGTGGCTTTGCGACGCGCACATTCTCCCCTCCGCCACCATCACTCCCTCGCCTCCTTCCCCTGCAATCACAAAACCTCATCAGCAACAGATTGTGCATCTAATAGTTGCAGTTAACATATAAATTAATTAATTAATCAAGCCTGTAGCTAGATGTCTATAAATTGAAAGTTACTGACGAGATGGGTGCAGGAGAAGCAGCACCACCAGCACAACCCCAAAGAAACTCATCTTCCCCATGGTAATGGATTGCAACAATAACACACACACTCTCTCTCTCTCTCTTCGTCTCTCTCTACTGCCGATGCGACTAGATCTAGTTATGAGTTATGACAATACGCTCTCCATGGTGCTCAATGCCAGGCATATATAAAGGGGAGATGGGTCTGTATCCGGAAAAGTAACGTTCATTTCCAACCGCTGGATGGCCCACCTTATTTTGTTTCTCTCTCATCGTAAGTAAGAACATACAGCACAGCACAAGCAAACAAAGTATATTTTCAAAATTCGGTTAATAGCATTTTGTACGGTTCCTCTGCTACGGTAAATTAACAAACTTATTTTTCTATTAAATTTTTGTACAAACATATCCTTACATTATTGTAAAATAACTCATTTTCAACCGCGGCCAATCGGTCGAAAATCACTTCTCCCGTTTCAAGTTGGCCGCATGGTTGTTATGCCGGTGACATGCCACCCGGTTGAACCTGGTTCAACCTGTGCCGGTCATGAAACCGGCATGATACCACCGGTATGATCGACTTACGTATTCTAAACAAAATAATATCATTTTAATGAATTTAATTAATATAAAAATCAATTTATTATTCATTTTATGAATTTAATAGTTAAAAGTTGATGATATTTGTTGGATTGTAACTTAATTGTCCACAAATATGTTTTATATATGATTAAATACATTGGATATTAATTGTTTTCACATTTTTTTTTAAACCGGCATGAATCGACATAAATTGGTTATACCACCGGTCGTACCATTCCACTTGCCAAACCGACACAACGATATATACCTGTTTGACAACCTTGAATGGCCCAAAAAAGATGCACCCTAGGCTGCCGGCGGAGGAGTTGGATGGCGAAGTAGAAGCTGGCATCGGAGTAGTAGCTGGGTCGGTGATGAAGTATACGACGGTTTGGTGAATGTGGGATAGGGAAGATTATTGTGGGGATACCTCCATATCCAAAACGACAAAAGGAAAGTTTAAAACTACTAAATTAATCATTACTTTTGGTATTTATTGTCTTGTTGAAAAATATTTAGGAAAAGAATCATATAGAAAAGGTTAAAGGGGCAAACAAGTCCTTCTGTATCTCTTTTAACGGTCACTTAATAGAAATAGTGACGGAAAGGGTATATTGTAGTTACGTTTTCATGGATAAAGAGTATGTTTGTACAAAAATATAATAAAATGATACATTTGTTAATCTGCGATAATAAAAGAGTATTAAAATGATATTAACATTTCCAAATTTTACTTAAAATAGTTTCAGCTCTAATGTGTGATCTAAGTAGCGCGCACAGCCCAAATTAAGGATCCCAGGTAGAAATAACTTTTGCATAACCACGTATGAACTATGAACTCATGGTTTGAGGTTTAGGGTGTATAACTTTTGCATAATCATAGAAGAACTATGGTTTGAGGTGGATCGGATATAATGAGTGAAAATACAAGAATTTGTTTTCTATATTTTTATTTAGCTTTTATCTTCGCTGTTTTAATTTGAGTTTAATTCTTTCTTTTTTTTTTCACACATGGAACATGTTCATCAAGATCTTCACTCTCATATCCCCTTTTTCCTCTCTCTGCCCATCTAGATTGCATGTATCGATAGCCTCGAGAGAGAGAACTAAACGAATGTCTATCAATGTTTTGAGTCAGTTATGAATATGGAAGTAACTTGTGTTGGGCCTGAAAACGGCCCATGCAACACTAAACATTAAGGATGAGAAAGAAGTGCAGCAACACAGAACAGAAGAGGAAAGCAAATCAAAGAGGCAGAAAAGAAAAGAAAAAAAGTAGCAGAAAAGCGGCCCGGGGGAAGCTCGCCAGCTAGTACTAGCCTGGCGGCCTTATTACACGAAACACACATGCAGGACGGAAAATGAAACAAAGAGGGCGGCCGGCCGTGCCGGGCACCGTTCACATCATTACTAGCACTTCTTGGTGCAGAAGCAACGGCGGCGGAAACCCTGGCAGTCGCCGCCGGAGAAATGCTCGAGCCTGCAGATCTGGGCGCAGTTGTGGTCGCGGACGCAGGGTCCCTTGAAGCCGTGGCTTTTCGACGCGCACACTCTCCCCTCCGCCACCATCACTCCTTCCCCTGCACCAAAAACACATACAATCACCAAAACCTCATGATCAGCAACACAACAGATTGTGCATGTTGACATAATCAATTAATTAAAGCCTGTAGGTGTCTAGCTAGCTATTATTGAAAGTTACTGACGAGATGGGTGCAGGAGAAGCAGCACCACCAGCACAACTCCAAAGCAACTCATCTTCCCCATGGTAATATTGGATCGCAACAATAACTCTCTCTCTCTCTCTCTCTCTCTCTCTCTCTCTCTCTCTCTCTCTCTCTCTCTCTCTCTCTCTCTCTCTCTCTCGTGGCAATGCGACTAGCTCTAGTTACGAACAATACGCTCTCCAAGGTGCTCAATGCCGGCCATAGATAAAGGGGAGGGTATGTACTCTGTATCTGGAAAAAAGTAACGTTTATTTCCACCCCCTGGAATGGATGGCCCACCTTATTTTGTTTCTCGCTCATCGTTTTGTAACTACAGCATAAACAAACAAAGCATATTTTCCTGATTTCATTTATTATTGATTTAGTTAAGATATTTGCTTTCGATTTCGAATGTTGTTCTGCGGTCAGGACCGTTTAGTATTAATAACTTGAGTTGTTGTGAAAGATTTAATAATGGACTTATACTGTTTAATATTTACTGACACTTCCCCGCTAACGAAAAACCGACTTATACGTGCTTAGATTTTTCGTAAATCCGAATATCATTTGCTTAACAAATGGAGTCGCCGAGATTCGAACACATGATCTCTCGATCAACCATTCTCAATTAGAAGTGCCTTAATTTTCATTTTCAATTAAATAATATTTTTTTTACTCACTTTTGTCCTTAGTAGCTGCCCTTTACACTCTCCCTACCCCTTATTGAAATAAAATTATTTTATAAATTAGCTATGATTTGGTAGAAATTTATTCGAGATATTGAACAAGTACAATTTTAATTTTGGACGGATCATATACATCATTGTCATTTGTAGATAACTAGTTATAAAAACATTGAATATGTCAATACACAACTTATAAATCATAAATAAAATATTTGACAGGTCAACTATTTCCATATAAATACATGTTTATTTTCATACGCAATTAGCTATCATACCTAATTTACCATTTTTCCTCCCAAGCCAAGGTGGGTCTGGGGACCCACCCTCTAACCTTCTCCCTCCACCCTTGATTAGGGGTGGGAATTTGGTGGCGGTTTTGTGGTTGATCGCAAAATGAAAAACAATCTATTTTGCCATTGTGGTTAGCAATATTGTATATTTTTCTGGTTGCGAGTTAACCGCAACAGAACTGTCAAACATCGGGATGCTCAATTAGTACGATAGTGTCCGCTTTGGGCCAAGCCCGCACGAATTTACTCTTGGGTGTCCTCCTCAATAGGCCTCGTACTGATGAGCTTGGTGGACACTTATATACAAGGATTCATTTCCATGTACAACCGATGTGGTACTTGGATTGTCCCATAACAATCCTCCCCTCAAGACAAGGACCACGAACATCGTGTCCTCACCTCAGCGATTATCTTGATCCGCTAGACACCTTGTATCGATGGGCTTCTCGGTACAAGGATTTTTCCAGACGCGGAACTCTCTTTGATCCGCCAAACAAACGTGGATCTCTCCACAAGACAAACGCGGACCTCCCTCGATCCGCCAAACCAAACGTGGATCTCTCCTGGATCCACCAAACAGCCCAGACGCAGATCTCCCTTGATATGCCAAACAGACGTGGATCTCTCCTGGATCCACCAACCAGACGTCGATCTCAAATCCTGAGGTCACCGAATGAGGGTCCACCAAACTGACGTCCACCACCCTGGACCCGAACGAGGCTCTGATACCACTTGTCAAACATCGGGATGCTCAATTAGAACGATATTGTCCGCTTTGGGCCAAGCCCGCACGGATTTACTCTTGGATGTCCTCCCCAAAAGGCCTCGTACTGATGTGTTTGGTGGACACTTATATACAAGGATTCATTTCCTTGTACAACCGATGTGGTACTTGGATTGTCCCATAACAAGAACAATAGGTAACCGCAATTTAACTGATTACTGACGCGGTTACATGTGGTTAACTGAGGTTAGCGCGGTTAACCATGACATAGTGGCACAACTACATACCAAAATGTCCCCAAACCATCAGAATGGTTAGTAACGTGGTTAACCGTACTTTACGATTAGTGGTTAACCACTAACCGTTTGCAGTGTGGTAACTGGTTGTAGATGATGATGAATGTGGTAAATGACTGTTAGTATATTCTTACTATCATGTATACAACTATTCTACACTATGCTATATTCATACCATCATGGTACATTTCCATACAACATGGTATAATCTAATGTACATGCCAAATAGTACACATGGTATGGACTAGTAATAAAAGTCTCAATTTATTTTTGTTCCAAAATATATCTATGTGGATGTCATTTTGAATAGCACAATTATATTAATCTGATTTTTTTGTGCAATTTTTTTTTATTTTAACTTAAAATGAAAGAGATAAAGCAGAAAATAGTTTAAGACTAAATATACCCCTTTATACTACCCTGGTATAGGGTGGTAACTGATGGTAGATGATGATGAATGTGGTAAATGATTGTTAGTATATTCCTACTATCATGTATACAACCATTTTACACTATGCTATATTCATACCTTCATGGTACATTTCCATACAACATGGAATAATCTTATGTACATACACACATGGTATGGACTAGTAATAAAAGTTTCAATTTGTTTTTGTTCCAAAATATATTGAAGTGGATGTCATTTTGAATAACACAACTAATGTTATTTTTCTGTAGAATTTTTTTAATTTTAACTTAAAACGAAAGAGATAAATCCTGTTAAATTTATTGAGAGAAAGTTAATAGTCTTTTATAAATGGTGAGCATAGGGTTACACATGGTTATGCACTAAATCCACTCCCCAAATTATTGGTCCAAGATAGGTTGTATGACCATAAGTTGCATAACCCTTTCATAAACAGATTTAGGTCCTTGATTTTAAGTATGGTCAAATCTAAGGGGAGATAAAAGATTTTTGTTTTTCTTATTATTTAATAAGTTTTATCTTCTTTGTTTATCTTGGGTTCCAAAAACTTTTGCACAGATTCAATGAGTTCATTGTAATTTATAAAATAATATCTATTTTCAATATATTTCAAGTTTTTTTTTACATCTATACTACTCATTACTACCATGGTACCACCTTCGTTTTTAACTCAAAATTTGAAGAAGGAAAATTCCCTAGGAACAAATTCATCGTTATCTATTGGATCTACAAATTTCTAATGAAAAAATGCAGACCAAATATACCACCATATATCATCCTAGTATAGGATGATAAATGACCATTAATATATTCATACTATCATGTATACAAATATTCTACACTGTAGTATATTCATACCACCATTATACACTTCTATACCATGTCGTAGAATTTTATGTGATAATTCCAAACATTATCATATGGTGTGAACGGTAATAAATGTCTCATTTTTTTGAGCTTTTGGACGATTTGTGAGTTGTGGAGTTTTTACTAATGGCATAGTAACACCTATTCAAAGTTGTATGTTAACGAGGGTTCGAGGTAGTCTATTTATAGCCATTTTCATCATGTATTTCAAGAGGTTTTCTGTGAGAATAAAATATATTTGTTTAAATTTCTTTTAAAGATCGCTTCATGTCTCCACTATAGGGCTGCAAATGAGCGAAACTCAACCGAGTTTTGGTCTAACTGAAGCTCAGCTCATTATAAAATGAGATTAGGTCGAGTTCGGCTCGTTTAATAACTGTTTGTAGGCACATGTTTCTATAGGTTAACATGTAACTCATATTCTTTTCAAAGTAGTTTGGTGTTTGACCCGTTGGTTGAAATGTCATTTGAATAATCACGTGTTTACGAAACATTCTAAAGTTTTCAAAATATTTGAAATGTATATTTCTACATAAGCTAAATTAATTATTCAAATAAAATCAAATAATTAAAATATGAAAAATGGAAATATCAAACACTAAAGAAATACTTATGAAAGAGTTAGGGGGCTAGTTAACCGTGTGGAAAGGTCATATAATCAAATTTATTAGTGTAATTGGTAATGATTGATATTATTGTATAAAGAAATCATAGTTCAAATCTCATGATTGATATTTGTTTTCCTATTAATAAGAACAAATAAATGTACAAATAAATCTAACTTTCTTACTTTCACTTAATTTTAAATACTGAAAAACTAATCCTAATAAGGCAACACAACTATTATATTTGTAAATTATTATAGTTTCCACTTTCCTGTTTGATTACATAAATAATATTTATTTTCCCATGTTTTATAATTATAAAGAATATTTGCCACTATCAGTGAGTTGATCGAAGAAAAGGATAATTTACTGTTCTTTTGTTGAAAAGGAAAAGTAAAGCATTCTATTATGTGGAGGAAGGAGAGGAGGAATGATCACCACGGAAAAAAGGTCTAACAATAGTCTGGAGACCAAACTTTAGTGTCCCCCACTTGATTGTTAGCCTACATTGCTGAAATACAGGCCGAGTAACACAATTATAAGTTATAACAGTATTGCGTGGTAATGTAGTTTAATTTCGTGTACTCTATCCATGTATTGCGTGGAAAGCAGAAAATGAATTTTGACTCAGCTCCCACGGCCAATATTTCGCTCAGTGTGCATGAAATCTTGCAAACTGAGATAAATTTTATAATATTTCGGTTAAAATGCGTATGATCATGCATTCGATAGGCGTGCATATGGATATGAGTATGAGTGTGCATTGGTCGATTGGTTCAGAAGACCAGAAGCGGATCAAACTGAGATAGAACTAGAGTACTGGACCACTACAAAAGAAAAAGGAGGACGGAACTAGACCAAAACCATGTTCGGTCCATTTGATTCGATTTGGCTCGGTTCAAATTCAATTTCGGTTTAATTTTTTTGCTTCATATTTAAAATAATTTATAGGATTAAATTCGAATCAAAATATATTCAATCCGATACACTTCCATCCAAATACCAACTCGATACGATCTGTCCGGTGTGAACCGGATCTTTGCCCACCCCTTGCATACAAGCCTCTAATTGGGTTTAACACAATATTTATGCAATCATATTTTTGTTTTGTAGGTGTGAAATTATTATATTTTAAAAGCTTATAACTGTGAAAATTATTCTGATATTTGCAATATATATATTTTTAAATCTCCCCCGATATATGATCGGCTAAACCCCATCTTTCCACCAACTCTTATCTCCCAAATCCTTTATCTTTTATGGTGCATGGTTTATCTATTTCCTCTTTTGTGCGCAGGGAGATAATGATGTGAATGAGCGAGAGCAATTCAGGGGGTCGGTGGGTGGCGT